ACATTCAAGAACTCAACAAAAGACTGGAACTTAAAGTTGAGGCTATTTCCCAGAAAATCAAACCTAAAAGAAAAACATTAAATATTAGAAGGGGGACAAAACCTATACAATTTTCAAAAACTTGACTCTGGGAAAAGAAAAAGGATGCCCCAGAAGAAGCACAGACATGGAGTTGAAGAACACAACCTGGCTCAACTGCAGACAGCACACACCTGTCATAATCATGTATGTTCTGAAAAACGATTTCATCAGCGTTGTGTGGAGGACTTCACATCCCCTCAGAAACTCCCTGAGTAATGGTTAAAGCTGATGTACTGAGACATAGGATGAAAGCATATTTTAGGATCTGGGAAGCAAAATTCCTGCAGGAACACTCCAGCAAGAAGAGTGCTCCCAGCAGTGGTGAGAGGCAGAAATTGATGCCCTTATTTGATGTTTACATGTGTTCTTTTGATATAAAAATAATGATTTTTTTAAAAAAAGTCAGATATCATTTTAAAATGCCAGTTTGTGTCATTTGCTTTTCAAATAGCCATGTGTCCTGGAGGACATGGTGGAGCCAGTCATGTTCATTCCATTGATATTGAATTATCAAGATCCATTCTGTTCTGTACGGTCTGCTTTACACAGATGGCGGTAGTGGGGGTGCTTCACCTATGTGGTGTGTGCTCTGTGGGTGGGAATGTAAGTTGGTGAAGTCCTGTGGAGAACAACGTGGAGGTGCCTCAAAAAAAATTAAAAATAGATCTGCATGATCCAGTCATCCCACTTTTGGGTATTTACTGGAAGAAGAGGAAAACACTAGTTTGAAAAAAATGTGTGACCCACATGTTCATTGCAGTGTTAGTCTCAATAGCCAACACATAAAAGCAACACAAGTGCCTGACTGCAGGTGAGTGGATTAAAAAGATGTGGTCTGTATACACAGTAGGATACTACTCAGCTATAAAAAAGATGAACACTTGCCCTTTGCAACAACATGGATGGAATGGGAGGAGATAATGCTAAGTGAAATAAGTCAGATAGAGAAAGATAAATACCAGGCGGTTTCACTCATTTGTGGAATGTAGAGGCAAAAAACTCAAAACTTAACAAACAAACCCTTTGACTCTGACAATAGAAGGGTGCTCACCTGAGGAGAAGGCGGGGGAGGAAGCATGCAGGGGGGCAGACCTGTGGGTGGTGCATGATGACAGGACATTTTGTGGTGAGCGTGGGGTGATACAGACAGCTTCTGAGGTGAGGGAATGTACATCTGAATCTTGCACAGTGTTGTAAACCAATGTTTGATCTATAAAAAAAAATGGGTGTGCTCTCATTAAATGTGGGGAGTTGCTGTGGACTGTCCTTTTGTCCTTTCCCTTGTAAGAGAAGCAGCATCTCCCTCTGCATCTCCCAAAGCCTCACCTTGAGTCCAGGCATCAGACGGACTGACTGCACACAGGCTTGAGCCAGTCCAGAACTGTGATCCTCATTAGCCAAGGTTCTGCCAGGCAGAGTGAGTCTCCAGGCAGGTCCCTGCGAGGCCTTTGTCCTGAGGCGCTTGCTGGAGGTCGCTTAGTGAAAATCCCTATCCAGGATCTCCTGAGGCAGAAATTAACTCCCCAGGCCTGGAGGCTATGGAGGTGAGTGGGAGACAGGAAAGAAAAGAAGCCTGCAAACAGAATTTAGCCTTTCAGACACAAGTGAATACTTCTTTTACTGGTTTTAATCCCTCAGAGAGAGCCCCCAGGGATGCTTGGTTAGGCTGTGTTTTCCTAGTTTGGTCCCAGTAAGCAGAGCCAGAGAGCAAAATACAAATCACACAGGCCCAGCTGCCAGGCGTGGGGAGGGGCTCTTTGTGTTTATTAGCTCGTTTGTGCCTGTTTCCTGGTGATTTTTCTGTTCTCAGATATATGGCAGAATCACAGCCACGTGTCCCAGGCTGAAAGGAGGCTCTTTGTTTAAGCCCTGACTAGATGGGAGTGTTTCCCAGGATATTAGAACAATTAATGCTAAATGATAATATTTTGACATGACAATAAGACGAAGGCTGCCTTTATTCTTTCGCTTGCTGGAAACCTTGAGCAAAGCTGAGAGATTTTTTTTTTTCCACAATGAAATTATTCTAATAAGATTAACAGCAGGTTGGTAGCCTTGGAAAGTCATGGGTTTGAAAGACAAAGGTTTGAAAGTTGGTCACATCTAGGGAAGACCCTTTGAAACATGGAAACGGAGTGTTGGTAATGGAAGAAACCCTTGAATCTGCAGAGATGAGAATTAGGTAATGCAGGTCTTCCTCATGTCTCTCCAGCTCTTCCTCTTCCTTTACCTCTTCTGCCTCCTCCTGCTTCACAACTCCTCTTCCTCCTTTCTCCCCCACTCCCTACCTCTCCCCTTACAATTATGGGGAACTAATTGTGTGTCTGGCACTGATTCTTGTGGGCTAATTACATATAGAATTTAATCATTTTAATAATATATGTATTCCAATAATTTCATAATAATTAATATGAAAGTGGAGACTTGGAACAAGAAGAAACTGATCCAGAGTCCCCCAGGTCACAAGTGATAGAGCAGGGGCTGGAAAGCAGGTGGAGCGGGGGCTGGAAAGCAGGTGGGCAGCTGCAGGGCTTCCAGTCCGCCTGGCAAGTAGGGAGCTGGCCAGAGACATCCCATGTTGATGGTGGGGAAAGCAAGGAAGTTGTTGGGCAGTTAGGGCACTCGGTCAAGGTCACACTTTGGTGGGTGGTAACAGAATCTACCCAGTTCTCTGATTCCAGACTGCTCTTCTCTGTCCGTGCAAGGCTGCTGAATATATGAAGAGAAATGTTAGAACATTAACATATAAAAACATACCCTGGTCAAGATTCTAGGTTCTGAATTCTCGTATTACTCAATTTGATTTTCATTTTTAAGCAGAACTGTTGAATACACCAGAAACCCTGCTGAGGACACTATTTTAAGCTAATATGTGTTTCCTAATAGGCAGAAAAAGAACTTATGGCAATGTTAAATTCACTGTCTTTCCTCTTCTCTGTCCCAATGGAGAGGGGTGTGGGACATTTTTTATCAGGCAGAATTTTCATTTTAGCCCTTTGTGGGAGTTTAAGAAAGTCTGTGATTGCCCCAGTGTAGCAGAATTCATCCCATCTCCCCCTAATTCTGGGACTGCACCCCACCCCCCACCAGGTCAACTGGTTATGCAGGGTCTGAGTGGGTCATTTTAGCAGTTACCTTTGGGTTAAGGAGACTGTGACTCCAGAGCCGGGTCTGTGGTACAGGGCCTTGTCGGGGCTACCCCACCCCCTACCCCCTCCACCCAGGGCCTTGGTCTGGCTGCCAGTCAACACCACTGACCATTCCTCAATATGCATTTCCAGTGGGGCTGACTCATTGCCCCACCAGTTTTGAAGGGAAAAGACACAGAGATGCCCAGCCCACAACTTTCCTACCTCCATGACCACCTTTGTTCATTCATTGTGGTGAAATCCACTCTTTCAAGTCTCAGATCCAACATTAGGATTGGGCTTCCCAATTCGTCCAGTTCAAGGTATGACTCACCTCACCTTCAAGAAGGCTTCCCACACTCATTCATGGTTGCTGCTGTCACCCCGCTTCTCCGGGCCTGATGTGCCCTTCTCATTGTCCCATTGGAACCTCAACCTTTGAAGGTGAGGAGGAGGCTTTCTGCCCTCGGGCTGCTCACAGTCCTTGGGCAACAGCTTCCTGTGTGTGAGGCGTGTGCACAGTGGTGTCACTGCCATTCAGATTGTGTCATGTGGTAATAAATACTTGGAGAGTTGAAAATGATCACACACATTCATTTCTCCACAACAGCTGACTGCTGACTGACTTGCTCTGTCAGAGAATCATCTCTTAGTTTATGTCTTCAGTTTACATCAGGAAATGGAGAACTTGTCCGTCCAGGTTGGCAGACTATGGATGGGCCATATCCAGCCTGTTCTATAGGGCGAGTGAGCTGAGATTAGTTTTTACAGTTTTAAATGAACAGGGGAAAACAAGGAAGCGTAATATTTCATACACAGGGAGATTGTATTAAATTTTAAATTGTATTCTATAAATTCAAATGTCATTATCCACGAATAAAGTTTTGCTGGGATACAGCTATTCCCATTTGTCTATGTAGTCTTTGTGGCTGTTTTTGTACCAAAACAGATTTAAGTAGTAGCCACAGAGACCAGCTGTCCCACAAAACCTAAAATATTTCAGTCAGACCCTCTACAGAAGCAGCCCCTGTGCCAAGTCGAGTCAGCTCAGTAGCGTCTCCTGGGGTGTGACCAGGAGCATGGGGAGGAGGGACACTGGAGTAGTCAGGAAGGGAGGCAGAGACCACTGTGCTGACACCAGGCCTCCTGGATCTGGGACATACCTGTCACAAACATCTCTGCATAGAGAAGATTCTAGTCTCCCTAAGAAGCAGCTGGACTCACTGCCGGTGACTGCGGGAGGGGTGGAGCTCCGGTATTTGGCACAGCTTCCTGCTCTCCATTAGGGACTCTGCGTGGCTCCTACAGAGAAGGAGCCTTTAGTAAATTAGGACGAATTAGGTTAGAGGATGATCAGCCATTCCTGATGATTCTGTGTACCACAGCTAAATACATCTGCAATAAGATCTAAAGCACTCTGAGCTCTGTGTGTGAAAGAGGTGCATGCATATGCGTGTATGAATGTGGCATGTGAGAATGTGGTATTTGTGTATTTATGTGTGAATGTGGTGTGTGTGTGTGTGTGGATATAGTTTGTGTAGGGAAATCTCTTTTGAGTCTGTCTCTTGGTCTGTATGCCTTAGGGGGAAATCCATTTTGGATGAATGCCAATGAATTATCACATTTATGAGGCCATTAAAGTTCAGAGTTTCTACAAAAAGATGTGTCCATCTTTTTGTGGCTAGACCAGCCCAGCCCTTGGAGGCGGAGGCCCCAGCATGGGCCTGGAACCAGCCACCGTCCACTGATGAGTGTCTCCGCTGATGAGTGTGTCCTCTGCTCTCGCTGCAGGGTAACGCTCTCTACTTCAAATCTGCCCGGAATGTCACCGTGAACATCCTCAATGACCAAATGAAAGTGCTCACACAGCTGATCACAGGTAAGAGGAAGAGTGAGAGTCTTGCTGCAAAACCTCAGGAGACAAAAGACAGGGGGTGCCTTTCAGAGGGCAGTCCAAGGGGCCTTCATGGACCCCAGAAAGCACTGTCTGAGGCCCGATTCACAGTGTGGAGAAAGTGCTGTCGCTTGGGCTCCAGGTCTCTGCTGCTGCAGAGTCTTATCCATTTAACAGATAAAAAGTCCATGGTAAATGTTCAGGGGGAAATAGACTCAGGTAGCAGAGCCAGCTTCATCAACTGCTCTCACCCGCCGTGCTGGGGAGGAATTGGCTGTGTGCGAATCACTGAGAGAAAGCTCAGTATACCCCATACTCACTATACCCCATACTCCCTGGGGTGTAGGGATTTGTGATGGTAAAGTCCACACAAGGTTGGCCAAAGGTGCTGACTTTGAACCTAACTCAATTGCGAATGCAGCTGTGCCCACCCCATGTGTCTGAGAGGTCACTTTTCTTGCAGCGGATCTGCTCCTAACTGCCCTCAATGGAAATCATGCTGGGTTTAAGCTGCACCTTCCTGAAATACAAGCATTATTGTTCACAGTAATGATCGCAAAGATAAATTCAGGCCCCGGGGCTGTGGAAATGTGTCCCCTGGCCTGCATATGCCCCGCCTATGAGGTTATGAGCAGCAGTAACCTTGGGGCCATTATGCACTCCCACCATGCAGAGGAAAGGGGTCTGTGCTGGAAGGTGTGATGACACTTCCAGGTGCAACAAATCATTTGTGTGGCCTAAGGACTGAGAGAACAGAGTTCTGCAGATGGACTTTTTGAGAATCCAGTTACCCAAAAGCCCCAAGTTATTACTGTCACTAAAACATCTGGAGCCCCACTCCTGCACACAGCCCAGAGGGAGCAGGAGCTTTGTGCCCATGGTCTCGTCTTCTGGGGAAACAGCCACTCTCCCCTCAGGGCCCTGCACCTGGGTGTCTGGAGATTCACTGCAGGTGGGTGCCAGGCCACCCTAGGTGGGAGTGGGGGTGGAAGAAATACTGTGTGCAGCCCATAACCATAAACATGCTGTTCCAGCGCAATCGGCTTGTCGGCCTGGCTTATATAACATCTGGCCGGCAGTCACATTGCTAAATAATTAAATAAACAGCTTCAGTAAGCAATGATTTAAGCGGCCTGTGCAAAATTGCCTCCAGGAGGGAAATCAATCCAACCTCTAGCTCCTAGATTCCTGCACTCAGAAGGAACTTATTTAGCCTGTTGATCATTTGCCATTTATCTGCAGTGGGAGACTTGGTTTACTTGAGAGATTTTGTTTTGATAAAGCTGGAACTGCCCAGAGGACTATTATTCAGCAAGAGTCCCTAGGAGCCCCCTCCCTGGGCTCTGCCTCGCTCATCTCTTTCCCTCTCTCCCCTCCCCTTCTTTCTCTGGCCCTCAGCTGCTCTTCTTCCTCCTACTCCCTTCTCTCCCCATTTCCCCATTCTCTCCCCTCCTCCCCTTTCTATGTCCTCTCCTCTCTGCCTCCCTCCAGGCTGTCTTGTCTTTGTGTCTCCCTGCCCAGGGAGGTCCTCTCTGGAGCTGTGTCCTCTAGCCCTAACTCAGAAGAGAACTCTATTAAAATTTCATAGGCAAGGGCCTCCCTCGGTGGTGTAAGGGGTTAAGAAGCAACCTATGAAGCTATCCGCAGTCCCAGCCAGGGAGCTACCCACATGGCACAGCAGACCTCTCCTGTCTCACCTGCTCCCCTCAGCAGTGTATTTCAGTCAGTCTGCCTTTCCGTTCCCCACTCTGTCTCTGGTGAATCCTCTCACCCCCAGCACCTCGGGCCTGTACCCCAGTTCTCGTATGCATACATAAATAAATCTTTAAAACAAAAATTTCATAGACAAGAATCCTTTCTAGCCTTACCCCCACCCACACCAGTACCAGCAGGAGCCTCCCAAGATAATCTAAAGAGAAGACAGTAGGTGTTTTCAAAATAGTAATCTAAGTGCATATACACTCATCCCTAGCACTTCAGGTTTCCTTTCACATGTATACCTGCATGGGGAGCAGAGCCAGGACATGGTATCTCGAGACTGTTAGGCATGATGATGTGCTTCTCCTAAAGCACCCCCTCCTCCCACCCTGTACCAGATTTATAAACCACCCTAGGATTCCACAGTTCTTCTGCCTGCCTGTGACTCAGGAGCCCAGAAGAAGTGCCAACCTTGACAATTCAGGTGATTTTTTTCACCTGACACAATGGTTTAAATGAGAGCAAGTTTCCCAGCCCAGGCCATGAAAGAACACCTGACCCATAAAGTAACTGATTGCTGCCATCTCAGTAGGGGATACAGATAGGGATCCCTCTGATCCACAAGGAGGAAGATTTAGGGGAATCTTCTCAGCCATCTTGCCAGCTTAGGGGAAGGGTCCCAGCATCAGGGGAGATGGGGGAAGAAGTAAGGTTGGGTGGCTTCTGGGTCTTATGAGTTCCCATATCCATGATTGTGGCTTTAACTGGGTGACTGCAACTGCATGTTAATGGGACCCAGTTCTGCTCCCTGGTTAGAGCATCAATTAAGGGGGTACTTCTCACACAGACTACCATACACAGAGGGGGATTAACTGGAGATTAGTTTCAGTTACAAAAAATGATTTTTGTCCATCCCAAAAAGTAACATTGGGTTCAGGAGGGCCCTCCTAAGCAGTCCCCATTTGCATTTCCTTCTTGAGTCATTTTGTAAAAGATTTCAACCATGTCCTAGGAGGTTTGCAGCCCAGGTGAAATCAACAAAGGGACAAGGCATCTGCACCATTGAGCCAGCATCTGCTCCATGGGGTTTGGCTAAAAGTTCCATTACTGAGCTCTTTATCCCCAAATGGGCCCAGCTCTTGGTAAATCCTATTGTTCATGCTGGGAAACTGAAATGCAAGATAACTTAATTGTGTCCTGTGCTCTGGTTGCTGCAACCTCTTCAGTGTCTTGTCTGGCTCACGGTACACTTGTGAGTCCAGGATCAGTTCTGTTAACGCAATGTTGGTGCTCTACACTCCAAAGAGGTCGTGTCTGGTGGCTGCCCAGGTCCATGTAGGCAAAGTCCAGGTATCTGGTCCCCCATCCAACCACAAACCTGGGTTGCAGGGGTGGCATTCTGTGCTCACCCTATGTCCATCATGAGAACATTCATTTATTCATTCATTTGTACTTCTTTACTTCCCAACCCCCAGCCTCTCCTGTAGAAAAAAAGTAACAGCCCCAAAGCTTTCACAAGCAACATTTTCCTGAAGGTTTTTTGCCAGCAAGAAGACCCCAAACCATCTTAGCCTGTCAAAACAATCTAGTCCTAAATACTCATTTGTCCTGTCACTTCTTTCAAGAACTTTATCTGGCCCTTTTCTCCAGCTTTCTTCTCCTTATCCTCATAACACTCATCTCCTAGTTGTTCCTCATCTATTGGCTGCAGCCCCTTTTTCCATTCTAAACCAAAAGCCCCATTCCTTCTCTGGAAAGATTCTGAGCGCTCACCTAATCTGCCGTGAGCTTACCTGCTGCCCTTGAGAGCACTTGTCCTTGCTGTCATTTGTTCTCAGCTAGACAATGGTCATAGGTGGTAACATCTGGTCTCCCACCATTTGAGAGTCCTGTGCTGTGTCTGCTATTTCAATCTCCACTTTTAAAGAGCCTCCCCATGGGCCTTCTTTTGGTCAAAGGGCTAGTGTCCTGGCACCAGATCAGGTCTGCCAAATGGACATGATTATGTGAATCAGCCAGGGCACCAAGAGCCTGTGATGTTGCATTAGGAAAACGATGGCGGCCATAGATCACAGTGCTGATGGCCCTCCCATGGGCACCCCCCTATGTATCACAACCTTTGCCTACAAAGCTCTTCATATACACACAGGATAATATGATCTTTTGCACCTTTCTATGAGGTAAATAGACTGGAGGGAGGAGATGAAGTCAAACTCTCTTCACTTGCAAGTGACATGACCAAGTGTATGAGAAATCAGAAAGACTATTTGGATGGACTACTGGAACTAATAAGTGTAGTCATCTAGGTTACAGGATGCAAGATCAATACAAAAAGATCGATTCTGTGTCTATACACACTAGCAATGAAAAATCTGATAATGAAAGCAAGAAAGTACATTCACAAAGTATCCAAACAATAAACTATTTGCCAAGAAGCTTAGCTTAAGAAATACAAGGTTTGTGCAATGAACACCACAAACCATTAGTGAAAGCAATTAAAGAACACCAGCTACTGGCAGAAGAAAAACAACTCACGTTCATGGACCAGAAGCCCTTCCTCTTGTAATATGATGGTTCTCCACAAATGAAAGAGATTCCATGCAGTCCCTACAAGCACGCTGCCTTTTGGTGGTGCAATGTTACAGATGCCAAAAGTGATGTTCAGGAAGATCACAGGAGTCACCCAAAGTCACATGGCCAGAAAATGAGAAAGCTAGCACCTGATTCTAGTCTTGAGGTTCTTTGTCTGATTGATGGTCTTGACGAAGAGGACAGCTGGCCTGGGTATCCATGGGCTGGTCTGGCCCTTTCAGCAAGACTTGGAGTTCTATTTGAACCTAAATCAAATCATAGACATCAGCACCAGAAAGGCCACTTGGTGGCCATGAAGAATCAAGACAAAACAAAAAAGAATAGACAAAAATGGGCCTCCCTGGTGGCGCAGGGGTTAAGATGCAACCTATGAAGCAATCCGCAGCCACTAAGGCATGAGTTCGATTCCCAGCTGGTCAGGAAGAAACCCACATGGCGCAACAGACCTCTCCTGTCTTGCCTGCTGCTCCCCTCAGCAGTGTATTCAGTCAGTCTGCCTGTTCTGTTCCCCACTCTGTCTCTGGTGAATCCTTTCACTCCCTCCATCTCTGGCCTATACCCCGATTCTTGTATAAAAATAAATCTTTAAAAAAAAAAGATTAGACAAAAATGCTGATAATATCCATACCACACAACATAGTCAAGTGCCCTCTATCCTGGCTGCTATGGGTGACACTGTCTCTTTATCCATTATAGTTTTGGCATATCTTTGGCCTTCCCTGCTTCTGGATGAGATTTATCAAGATGCCCATCATAAAATTGTACCCATTTGCTGACAGCATCTAATCTAGAGCAGAGTCTTGCTTCTTTAATCCCTGCTCCAACTAACCTAACCAAATCTTTTCATAGGTCCTTTCTTCTCCCCTTGCTGCTCCATGGTTCTCTGGGGTATATGCTCCCCATCATGTTGGTGAATAGCAGACCCTGTGAGTTGAGCTGCCTCTGTCCCCAGTGGTCTTAGCCAGAGTTGTAGAGGGCCCTTTCACCACTGTTACTAATTAAGTGTCAGTGTCTTCAAAAGTAACCAGAAGGAGAGTGAAATGCTATGTCCAAATTTGGGGGACAATTTTAGAAACCAGAAGATTCTGGATCCCCCCCTCAAATTCTTTTCTGTAGGGGTTTCTAGACAAAAAGACAAACTCCTATTGATCTGAGCTAGGTTCAGTTAGGATGATGACACCTGAAGTGGTTCTGATATACTTCTCCAGCCCAGTTTTGGAGAGCCACCTGACCTTCAGGTATTCATCTAGCCTGAACTGTCTCCTTATTTGTTTTTTAAAATAATACTAATACCATCATCACTGTTACTTTTTCCATAGTACCTAAAACCCACTATGATCTTCTCTTTTATTTATTAATAAATGTTTCCATTTATATCTGTCCCCACCTGCAGATAAATGCTATGAAATCAGGGCACCTGATAGACAAGAGCATAACCCTACTGTCAAGAGTAATATCTGTTGTCCTACGATAAACACTTTAAATGTATTTTTTTAATTAAATGAAATTCTAGTATAAAAGAGTTAGTAGCTCCCACAGTAATTAATTGCAACAGATATAGCCTTCTCTGCTAGAAAATGATCTATGTACTGAGGGAATAGAATTGTCTGATGTCAATGCAGCCTGGGTCCAGGGTGGTGAGTGAGACAGATTTCAGAAGAATTTAAAGATGCCCCTTCAGACAGTGATGTCTCTAGTCCAAGATAATGGAGTCTTCTATACCTTCTTACTTTCCAGCCAACGTCTACAACTATTTGACAGTAATTCGCTGGTTAGCTGCAGGGAATTTCATTCAAGCATTAGTTTGGAAGAAGGACATGATGGCCTTTAAAATTATAGCCCGAGAGTCTATGATTAAAAGTAATTGACAAGCTGTGGCTGAAGTCACGAAGCTGATGTTCACAGTTAGCTTCTGAGAACCAGCCCACTTATGTTGAAGCCCAATGTGTCTTGTCAGATGCGTATGCTTCATGTCTACAAAAAAAGCTCTTTGTAACTGAATGCACTGAGGCTCATGTGCATCGCTCCTCTCCCCTTCTCTCCCTTTCTAGGTCCAAAAGCTGTCGAAGCTTATGGCAAAAAGTTTGAGGTGAAAACTGTTTCTGGAAAACTGCTCTTCTCTGCAGATAACAATGAAGTCGTAGTAGGAGCTGAGAGATTAAGAGTTCTAGGTAAGGAAACTTTCATCATTTCCTTGGTTTGATGCGATGGTGTATATTTCAGAGGGAAAGTGAAATGGTGTCTCAGAGAGTGATTTTGTTCAGTCACCTGGATTCTCTTAAAACTAGGTACTTGAGCACTCACCCCAAAGCCTAATCTCCTGGAGAACTTTTCTCAGGTCATAAACTCTTCGAGGCACATCTGCCAACACTGAACTTTGGGTGGGAATGTGCAGTCATGCCTTGAATATTCTAGAAGTGTCTTGTCCTCACAGACCTGCAGTGTTACTAAAAACACTCAAACATGTGTACATAATGCAAGTCTGAAATGTGCAAATTAAGAACCTCGGAAACTGCTGAAAAGTGCAAGCCCATGCATCCAGCCATGACCTACCGAGTTAGTAGCTCTGGCAGGTAGGTCTGAGAACAACTTTGCAGACACACTGGCCCAAATGTCCTTGGCTACACTATGGAATCATTGAATTTGCACATGCAACTGAGTCTTCTGCAATTTCCAAGGAAATGGTCTAAGTTGGTGGCTTCAGTGTCCTGGTGCAGGAGCCGATCTCACTCCTGCTGTCAGCTGCTGGCTGTGGAATGTGGGCAGGCTCGGGGCATTGCTGAGCCACTTTCCTTTTCTGTTCAGTGGGGCTAAGAACATCTGCCATGTCAGGTCGTCCCCAGGGTTAAAGGAGATGATGGCGTCTGGGCTTATCACAGTGCCTACTACAAAATACTACCCTGCAGCCATTAGGACTGATGCTGCTACTACTACTGTCAGTAAGAAAACTGCATTTCCTCCTCTCACTCCCTCAGTCATTAAATATAATGATAAAGAGTTCAAGAACTAGTCCCCTCTGATTTTAATCCCATCCCTGTCCTTTCCTAGCTGTGTGACCTTGAGCAAGTTATCTAACCTCTGTGCTGATAATTGTTCCCCATAAAATGGGGTAATAGAAGTATCTACCTTCAGAGTTTTCTGGAAATATAAAATGGTGCAATCTATTACAGGGGTTAGTAAGTTGGATTAAAAAATAGCAAGTGTTCCCTATTAGCTGTTATTATCTTATTATTATAACAGTTATTTACCTGAATTTATTCTTTGTTCTCTGTATTATTAGCTTCATTTTGCATCTTATTTCTTCTCATTACTATCTTCTTTCTGATCATCAATTAAGTTTTTCCCTTCCCCTCTTTCCATTTTACTTTCTCCCTCTCCTCTCTCCCTCTTTCTCTCTGTCTGTCTGTCTGTCTCTCTCTCTCTCTCTTTCTCTTTCATATAACATACACTCACATCTAACTTCCTCACTGCTAGTTCTGCTGGTCCTATCCCCCCACATCATCAACCCTCCTGTGGATAACCACAGCCACTTTTCAGTTTTAGGACAGTGATTCCCTTCAGCACATTCAAAAGACCTTGACTTCTATGGAAAAGAGCTAGTAGTGAAGCCTCCTAGAGTGTTGCCTCACAGGGTGGCATCTTGGGGAAAAGGGAGCAGTTATTGGGGATGTAAACTAGGGTAGAGTGACCAGGGGCTATTGCCTGGGGGGCTCCATTGTTCCTGCTAATTGAAGCCTGTTATCTCTAAATTCTAATATCTGCCAATTGGTTTCCCAGTATGTTCCACTAACCAGCACTTCTGTCCTTGGTGCTAAGTTCCCTGGATGACCCTACACCTAGCTGACAAGCAGGAACTCTGGGTACCAAGACAATCTCCCAGAGAATAAGGAGAGCAGGTATCCCACAATAGAGAACTTTAGTTACAGGAAACCTGGCAGGGGAGCCTGTGTAGGCAGACTACAGATGCTGCCCTCTCTTTTTCCTTGGGAAAAAAACACACCTGAGCTGGGGTCGGGGAGATGGCTGAGAGTACAGGGTGAAGTCCAGTGTCTCATTTGTCCTCACGTGCCTTTGGTGTGTTACTTCAGCTGTGTAAGCACCCCCACTCCTCTGTGACACAGTGCAGTCACGCCCAGCTCTCCTAGTTGCTGGGAGAACTGCATGGTGCAACGAGGCAGCACTCAGCAAACATGCAGTGTGCTAATAACCATGGCTGTGTTGGGGGCGGCTTCTGCTGGTCCACCTGGGCTTCAGGAAACCCATCAAGTCCAGAAATTTTATGCAACCCTGTGTGTTCGTAGGAGATTCTCAGAGAAATTGGCTTAGGACTTGTAGATGCAGTCATATAGCAGATGAGCCTGGGCTAGGATTTTCTAGTACACCCAGTGTACCCCAGTGCACCCCAGTGCACCCAGCACACCTAGTTCATGTAGGGCTGATTGTCAGATGAGTAAAACAAGACCTGGAAAGATAAAGAAGCTTGCCCAAGATCCAGGGCTAGTAAGTCATAGGACCAATGTTCAAATCTTTGATGCTGGCCTGTGCCTTAACCTAAATGCATGCAAATGTGTCTCTTCCAAGACCTTTACCAACTGTTGCCAGTGTTTTTCACTTAGTTGTAGAAATGGCATTTCTATATTAGCTCTAGGTTTGGGGTAAAGTACACAAAAAATCAAGTTAGCGCTGTTCCACAAAGTGCTTTGCTATCCCAGCTCTAAAATAATTGTCCAGGGAAAAAGTGATGGGATCTCAGGTCAAGATCATATTTTACAAATGGAAGTTGGCCTTTCCTGTGAGTTTCTTGGGATTTCATGAGTCACCTGATGCTTTAAAATCTGACTTTGAAAGACGCAGATCATTTTAAATGCTCAAACCCTTTGGTTTAGTCTTAGTGGACAAAACCCCCTGCTGGGTCATTGAAGAACTTTCCCCAACTCTCCCTACCATTGCATAGACTGAGGGCTGGGTGATCATTGCACTTTGGGTCACTTGAGGTATATGGATACTTTTGTCACCTTTGTTGCTTAGGTTTGTGATATTTCCCTTAGAAAATTTAGCATGAAATCTGTCTCCTGCCATCCTTGGGAACATTTACTTTTTTATGTAAGATTGCAAGAGGGAAGCATCATAATAAATACCACTGCTGCTACCAATCCCAAAAAGATTAGGAAATGACCACCCCACCGCACACATCTCTCAGCTACCTCCTCAGTGAAATGAACCTGGTGTGTTGCAGAAATGAGCTTCCTGTCAGCTGGGATTCAGCCATATGGTGTGGAACGAGAAGCTTAGGCAATTTCATTTTCAGCTTAATGAGGAGTTTGTCCGTTGGGGTTGTGAGATGGCGCAAGCTCTGGGGAGATTTGAATCTGGGTTCCTCTTGCCTAATAGAGGTGCATGTACCTGGGTCTGCATTCTTGCTCAAGCATGTAGGGTCTCAGTACCTAGCCAAGTCTATTTTTCTCCCAAAGCTTTCATTTCCACAGGTGTTAAAGGATGGAAGTGAGAGTAGTAACTAGGACTACAAACATGCAAAAAAATCAGTCAGGTTAGGTGTTGGCTGCCTGGGCTGCTCCACCCATGCTGTGAGCGCGCATAGCGTCTTACCTGCCCAAGCTCCACAGTGTGTTGGTATCACCATGTGAGGGAGCCAGAGCTGGGCACCAGTTGACGGGAAGTCACCCTCCCTTTGACTTCCAGATTCTTGGGCTCTTCCCACTGTGCTCCCACACCACTGATGCCCTCTGCTCCCTTCTCTAACTCTGCTGTCCCCTACAGGTGATATGGAGCCACACCAAGGCTCACACCTGATTTTTCTCTTCCTACAATGCTGTGGGAAAGCCCACACATAGATAGACTTTCAACATGTGCTCTTTTCAGGTGACCTGGAACTGTCTTTTCATGGTCTATGCCAAATTCCCTCCTGCCTGGACTCTTGCACTGGAGGGCGCTCCAGCACTTCCACTTCATCACCTGCAGTAACATACCCTCCCCACAGCTCCCCGCCTTTCTGAAGCCCCTTCCCTAAGGATCCTGAGGGGCCCCCTTCTCCTTGTTTCAATGTCTTGTTTCCGTGCCAGCGCCAAGCCTTGCTCTCTACATAGGCATGCTTGTCTTTGCCATCCTTGTGATTTCCACATGACACATGTTTATTCAGATCTGACACAAGAAAACTGAGGTTTGTAGTCAGATCCATCCATTTCATCACCAAAAAGGTGTGAAATTAGTGTGCAAGATGAGACGTGGTAAGAGTTTAGCTCTAATAACAGAACAATGTGATTAAATACTGGACTGGGATGTTTTTTAAAAAGCAGCAATGGTAGAGGCTCCCTGAGACCCATGGCCTCTGAGAAGCATCTTCATGGAGACACCAAAGAAAACGTGATTCTGATTTTCATTAATGACCAATTTCACTGAACAATGAATTGGACATTATAGCATTTATAAACAAATTATAATTATAAAGTGTTATTTTAATTGTTAATTAGATCTATTTATACTCTAGATTAGTTTTTAAATATGTCCTCTAGATGCCACTTGATGTTAATTATCTGCGTTACATTATTATCAATTGAAAAACATTTTTAATTAAATCTAAACCCATTTAAATTAGCATAAGATTTATAGAAATTTAAATGTGGCACTTTTTTTTTAGGACAGCAGATGATACATTTAGCTTTTTGAATTAGTTTTTGATGAAACTCTCTACTGTAAACAGGCAGTGATAATTGTTAGGTTGAAAGAATGGGGTGTTCTTAGTTGAGTCCATTCATTGATTGTATGTGTGTGTGTGTGTGTGTGTGTGTGTGTCTCATGTGGATGCAGTTATATCCTCTAGTCATTGCTTCTGGCACCTTGGTGATAAAGGGGTGAATGTCATGTCTTGTCCCCTACTTTCTGTTAATTCAGAGAGATGAGATGCACATGCAGATGTCCAAGAGCCCAAGCTGAAAACAAGCCACATGATTCTACAGATGACAGAATCCAGTGGTGATGGGTGGTACCTTAAATGAAGGCATGTTTATTTTTAAAAAAAAATATTTATTTATGCATACAAGAACTAGGGTATAGGCCAGAGGTGCAGGGGGGTAGAGGACTTACCAGAGACAGAATGGGAGCCAGAACAGGCAGATCTACTGAAATACACTGCTGAGGGTGCAGCAGGCGAGAC